CTTCTCAGTCAAAGCAATTTAGAAAGGTTACATGGTACAACCTTTAAGCCTTTCCATATATTTGATAGTATAGATTATGTTATTTCTCCTGTATGTATACTTAAAGTTTACTTGAGAACAGGTCATTTTAGCACACTCGCAACTGTAAGAAAATATGACTGAAGAATGTTACCCAAAATTTCAAGTTTTAGCAATAATCTCCAGCATAACCCTACAAGGAAAAGGATGAAAGATTTTTTTTTTTAAATGTCACAAGTACTGAGAGCTCACTCTTCCCATGAGAACACTGGTTCATTTCAAAAAGTTTTAAATTCACAGGGCATTCACTAGTGCATTTCCCAGATTCCAGTTTTAAGATTTCTCTAGACACAGGTAGAGCACGCGCAGCCTGGCCCACGCGGTTACCATGCTGCTTATCTAAGAAACAATTCTGAGCAATCTGGGAGATTTAAAAATAAATAAATGAATAAATCAAACACATCAGAAGTCACCAACAAAAACTCGTCCTCTAAATATACTTGTGAATCCTGAAACTCCTGTTTAGGCTCTCTTAATTTATTCCTACAGGAAGAATTCAAGAGCCACAAACGTATTTACAGTAGATATGGAATGAGGAAGCTTCTCCTTCAGAAAAGATTGCTGAAGCCTGCTACAGGACATTATGAAAAGGAAAAGATTATTCAGGAAGGAAAGATAGAGGAAGGAAATGAAAGGAAAGAATCAATTTCAGTTTAAACAGTTTTTTCTAGGTGTTCAATGGTTTATTTTACACAACAGCCCCACATTTATCTAAACACATGTACACAACAGCACTCTGCAAAGCAGTAATTCAAACTTAACACTCCAAACACGACGGTAAATATTCTGTGTATGAGTTCAAAACTTTAGCTACCAGAGAAGATATCCAGTTCTATACAAAGGTTCTCTCAATAAAGAAGTTACAAAAGTAATATTTTGCTAGTACTTTCCTCTAAGATTTGCAGTTTTGAAAGTGTCAATATTAATTCTGACATATCTTCACCAGACATCTTTCAGTTTCAACTGATTTAACACATATATAAAAACCTGACAAACATAGCCTGCTCTCCAGAAACAGGTTCCATAGTCCACGGCATGACTACGTTATCAAGAACTCATTCATACCCCTCCAACACGAAGTAAGCAAGCATGCAAAACTATTATGTCTGCTTTATATAAAAAAGGTCACAAAACCCCCAGAGTCACTTACACTAGCAAGACACCTTATGCAAATATCAACCTACAGGTTAAATTATTCCCACTTTTTCGTCTTTAAACTTCCCTCCCTATACCTGCACTGCTTCTCTCCCCCAGCATATCCAGCTGCATCAGGTCTGAAGACAGCAATTCCCTTACCCTGATTTTCATGTGTGACTCTGAAGATTAAGCATGAGAAGTGGACTGCATGAAGAGTGAGGACAAACAGACAAGATTAATTTCTTAAAGCACCCAACAACTGTGGCTGTTCAAAGAATGGTAAAAGAATTCAGTAGCAGCTCTAGCACCAAATACTTTGATTGCTTTTGAAATCTGACTAAATTTTCAGCTGGTTCGACTGTCAAGTTGGCTCACCAAAACAGCAATGTTCTGTTGCATGTCTTTCAGTCAAACCTGAAATTAAATTGTTTTAAACAGTATCTCCTCTCAAATAGTCCTAAAATTAAGCTACTATGAGAGGAAAAAAACCTTAAGGCTAAACCAATGCAATTTGGCTCTAAAAAGTGACTACATTAAAATTTGTTCATAAAACCTAGAAGACTACACTACAGACTTGGGGAAGGCCAACATGTTTAAAACAGACTGTGCAGGATGACTCATCCACTAGCGATTAAATCAAACACTGTATTTCCAAAAGAAGGTAGAACTGCATAATAATCAAGCAGAAAACTGTGGAAGAATACCTCAACAAAAAAGTTCTAAGCAAAGCATAAAAATAAGCAAGCAGACAAACGCAAATTCTAGAAATCTTAAAACCAGAAGAGGACAGATGAACTAAAATGTCTGCTATTACAAACAATAGGAACCTCACAAAATCTACAGTAAAAAGACAGCCAGGGATCAATGCAATGCCCGATTAAAAGAGGGCAACAGCGGGGATTGTACAGATGAAGGACCTGTCTGTGTGATGCACTACAGCAAGCTTAGAGTCAAACTATGAATGGCAACCAAGGCATGACAGTAAATGAACGATAAACTGTCCCGAATCTTTAGCACGTTGGGGTTACATTCCCCATACAAATGGGACAGTACAGAGATTTCCAAAGAAGAAAACAGTAATTATGAGAGATTGCAGTTACTCTGCAGGCTGGATAAGAGTCAAGAAGGGGAGCAATGCAGCGATTTGCTCTTTAGCTGTCATAAGCAATTCCTTCTTGGAGCAGCTGGCCAAAGGAGTGACAAAAGGAAAAACATCTCTTGATTTAGTCCACAGCACCTGCTTTAGCGAGGTAGCTGCTGAAGAATATTCTACAACAGGAGCATCAATGCACTCAAATTCAACATTCTTGCAAACAAAACAAACCCCTACGGCCAGGAAAAAAATCCATCGCTATTTAATTTCAGCTTGGGGAGCTAAGCAACAGTGACCATGCTATTAAAAGATCACTAAAAGTAGCATCTAAGAGGGCAGAATGCATCATGAAAACTTTTAAATATGTTAAAAAAGAAGATTAAATCACTGAAGACATAAAAAAATCCTGAAACAGTTCTACAATGAAAAAAAAAAAAAGCTATTTGAAGTAAAAAGCAAACTTCAGAATCAGAAAACGCGTCCAAAATGAGAAACAGTAAATACTCCATAAAGATAGTTAAGATTCCTGCCATCTACATAGACTTTTGAGGAGCATCTTGCTGGAGGAATCTGTACTTTTTTCAAACACATCAAAACCAGAGGAAACCTGCCAGAGAGCTGATAAGGACAACAGATCATTTTCTTTTTGCCGTGTCCTGATCTTCCTAGTGTTTTCCTTTTGCATCTTAAGCTATCACCACATCTTTGTTCACTACAGAGAACACTGGGAAAGTTCACACGGAGGAGTTTTTCTCTCTGAAGAAAGCTTGAGGACCTGCCTTGGACTGAACCCATTTTTGGAAAGAAACACCACAACTGACCTTTTGGGGTGCTCACTCTTTGTTACCATTCACCCAGGAGTTCTAAAGGAATTCAGATACCAAAACGTCAGACACTGTATGGTGTGTAAACTACTGTTGAAGTAAATTTTGCTTTTAAACATTCTAGGAGGATCCAAGATACTGTAGGTTAATCTATACCAAGCACCTAATTCTTTTTAGTGAAAATATTCACTATCAGGCACATTAGCAATTCAAGTGTCATGCGGAAAAGTCAAAACAGCATTTGCAGAGAGGTATCATGCTTCCCTGACCAAAACTCTTTAAATGAACAGACAAGAAGATAAGGAATGATCTGCCTGAGAGAACATATCTGAGTTTCCTAACAACTTTTGAGAAGGTCTTCACAAAAGTTCTTTTTAAAAAAAAAAAAAAAGTCAACCAAAAAACCAACCCACAAACTAGCAAAAACCCCTGTGCTGTTTTGGGATAAATCACAGCCCTCGGTAACAAGTGATGTTTCCCTGTCTACTTACTTTCACTGTTACTTGTACAAAAAAACAAATATTAACATTTGATGATTTCTGTCCTTGCTATGAAGAACGCTCCGGCAATCCTGCACAAATGGAAATCAAAGACTTGCTACTGTGCCCATTATATTTGTCAGGCCAGTCAAACTACCTGCATGCTGGAGTCCAAGAACAAAATCTCATTTCTTGTCTTTCTCCCTATGGTATGTTTTGCTTAAAAATCATTACCTCACCTCACTATTATTACGGTGACACTACAATAAAATACCCAACTCTTTCC